AAAATGTATTCTTGTTGTTAGTTGCAGATGATATGATTATCTTTGTAAAACATTGTAGCAAGTAAATAGAAAACCTCTTGGAATTAATTACTGATTACAGCAAGATTGCAGGATACAACATTAATATACAAAAGTCAATCACTTTTCTGTACCCCAGCAACGACCAAGCAAAATTTTTAAAAAACAATACTATTTACATTAGCAACTCAAAAAAGAGAAAAGTTAAAAATCATCTACCTCATGAGAAATTAACATCAAGAATACATTTTAAAATGCCTACAACTAAACAACAAAACAAATAATCTGATTTAAAAATAAGCAAATGACTTCAACAGACATTTCTACAAAGATGATATACCAATGTCTAACAAGCTCATGGAAAGATGCTTAACATCATTAATCACTAGAGAAATGCAAAACTACAATGAAATATCATTTCACACATAGTGCATAGTAAATAAAACTTCTAAGGAAATAGCCACCTTGGAGAGAAGGGGCAGTCAGAGAACAAAGAGCTTGACTCAGAATGTGGCAGGGTTGCATTGGTCTAACAGATTTTAGCACAATGGAAACCCATGATTTTATGGCAGTGATTACACCAGATAATTTCCTGTATCAAAAGGCCAGAGTCAGAAAAAAGTAGGTCGTTGGATCACCCAACATATAATAACCAAAAATAGGCAAAGAAAGTGAACTGCAAACCTGGGTATTCAAGGAAAAGAGATATTGACAGATTGGTGAGAGCCCAAAGGACATAGTGAAGAGGCACAAAGCATCTTTTCCAGGGACCAGGACTGGGCCTTAATGAAATACTAAAGCAGGTGCCTGATGGGAAGAAGTAACTACTCGGACCAGTGACAGGTGCTGCCGCTTCCCACCAACCCTGTCTGAAGAAAAGTGCACACATGGTCATGCCTGTCTGCTCACTGTGAGCTGGATGTGTGTTAAAAAGATGACATGACATTGGAGCTTATTTAGTTTGGCTTTTAATCAACTGCACAATGGTGGAATATCTCTAGGGCTCTTGAGAGGGGCAAAGAATATTTTCCATGTGGTAGAAATTTACGGTCAGAGAGAGGACTGTGGTCTATTAAACAGTGCTGCAAAGTCCTGCTATTCCTTTTATTGAGAGGTGGAATCTAATTGCTTTCCCCTTGAATCAAGGCTGGTCTTAGTGATGTGCTTGCTTAACAGAAAACGTTGGAAGAGAAGCTTTGGTATCTGAGTGGAGATAACAAGAATCCTTGCAACTTCTGCCTGGGCCTCTTGGACACTTGCTGTGGCAGAAGCCAGACATACCTGACTACCCTGACTATACCACAGACTATACTTCTGTGAGGAAGTCCAACATGGCCACAAAGAGAGGGCTGGATTTTGGCTCAGTGTTCCCAGCCACTAGAGATTTTCCAGCTCAGAGCAGAGACATTATGTAGCAGGGAACCCACACCACCCTGCCCCGTTTACTGACCCAAACATTGTGATGTGTAATAAGAAGACGTTCTTATTTTAAGCCATGAAGTTTTGTGATACTTTGTTGCACAGCAGATTACTGGAACGCCAATAAAATTATTAGAGACCTTAGGTATTACTTTGATTTGAAACATGAAGAGTAGGTTCACACTAAATATTAGATTCAAAGCAAAGAATGAAAGCATTTCACATCTTACATTAGGTCTCAAATTAGAATTGTGAATGTAAATGTTCAGTTCACTGGTTTCACAACTTTTGTTCTTACCTAGCTGCTAGCTACAGCTCTACTTTAAAAACATACTGATGACTAATGCACACATCCATTTTTCTCACTCATTTTCTTAGTAATTACCTAAAATAGGAGAAGACTAAAATATGATCTGTAAGATAGTATGAAAACATGATGAGTCTTACTGAAGTACAAACATAAGTGTATGTTAATAAAAACTACAAATAGAATCACTGATGTAAATTTATAGAAGCAAAAGGTAGACATTATGAAAATTTGTACTTCCTGTTTTTATTATTTTATGTCTTTCTATTGACTGTTGTTCAAACATGTCCCAGTAACTCCTGAAGACTTTCTCTCTATGGACTCCTAAGGATATCACCACAGGTGCTGGCTAGAAGCATAGGTCACCAGGGATTGAACCTCATAGCCCAGCAAACATTATGTTCAGGTTTTTACAAGAATGAAATTTCTTTTTTTTTTGTCCTTTTTGAGACCGGCCGCACTGCGCTCAGCCAGTGAGCACACTGGTAATCCCTATATAGGATCCAAACCCATGGCGGGAGCGCTGCTGCGCTCCCAGCGCCGCACTCTCCCAAGTGCGCCACAGGCTCGGCCCACAAGAATGAAATTTCTAGTGGAACAAAGTTACTGTCTTTATGAGCAACTTGTGCCTTAAACTAGGTAACCATTTCCACTGTCCTTATGAGTACAAAGACCTCCCCCTATACTGATGGTGTATATAAAAATTAGAATAAAATGAAAAGACAAAGCAAATAAAAGTAGCAGGAAGTAACACAAGATAAAATTAGATCCAAGAAACAAGGAGGAGTCCAGGAGAAATCTCATTTTGGTGGCTTGTGTCAGTGGTTGGGTGGTAGTGATAACACATATAACAAAAGAAAGGGAAGTGGTTTTAATTTTAGATTTGTTGACCTTGAGGTGATGTTTTGTTTCTTTTCCTGGCAGGTGGCTGGTGCAGAGATCTTAACCCTTGACCCTGGTGTTAAAACACCATTACCTAAACAACTGAGCTAACAAGCCAGCCCCTTGAGGTGCCTTTTGAATAGCTACAAACAAGCATTCAATAGAGTTCAACCTATGATCAAAACACTAGGGAAGAAGTACAACCTGGAGAGAAAGAGGAGTGCAAACTACAGAGGACTGAATCAGTGAAAAAGAATTTCACATGAGAAGAACAGGGCCCAGGATGAAGCACTTTCATAACCTATTTTATAAAGAAGAGAATAGAAGAATTCAGGAGAAAAGAGAAATAACCATCAGTGAAGTCATGAGAGAAACTAATAAACTAACACAGAAGTATTTCCAGGAGAATATCATGAACAGTAGTTCAAAATATAGCAGAAGACTCAAGTTAGAAAAAAACTAGAGAACAGTCATGGAGTTTGACTATAATTTAAGTTATAATTCTAGGTTCTACCCATGAATCTAGTATAGTCTTCCAAAGTCATCTGGAACTAGATTTATTTTAGAAACTTTATAAAAAGCTTACTAAGCAACTAGTGCCTTAGAACTAGGTAACCATTTCCACTGCAGAAAGTGAGAAATGTGGATTTCCAGGTCAGCAGTGAAAAACTTTCTAGTAGTGATGGTGTTGCAGAATTTGGTGCCACCAAGTCTTCACATCCCAAGAGAATTTGGCAGATTCTCTTCTCAGGTTCCATTCCAATCATGTAAACAAGGTGTCAGCCTTTTGTCCATGACATCACAAAGACCAGAGAAAAATTTTTATCCAACTGAGATGACTCTGATGCCTTACAAACTGGTATATCTACATGCCAACTTTATCTTCTGAATGTACATTTCTTTCAAGTCCAGTTTTACTTATTTGTACTTTTCAATTTTAATTTATGTATTCCATAAAGCTCACATAATACAATAAAAAAGGGTGAGTAATAAATAACCAAAAAACTCACTGGAGATTTTTTCATCTTTTCTTGCTCTTGTAAACCTTTAGTGCACTCTGGCAGCATAGCTGGGAGAAAAGAGAATAGAGTGGATTAAGGAGAGAACTGTTGTGCCTTGGCTCTACATTCTCCTTCCCAAAACTCTCTACTTATTAGCTGAAAAAGACAAACAAACAAAAAGCCTTCCTGTGAGAGAACAGTTCTTCACACCTCAATGAGGGGCAACAAGGACCCCATTAAAGATGCAGCTACAAGTACATGAATAGCTACACATTACACACACAGTTTATTTTTGGGTCAATGAAAACATACATAGCCTACAGACTTAGCACTAATCAATATTACCTAAACATATAACTTAATACATTATACCAAAGAAAAACACATTCTGACCTCACTAAAATTAGTGTCATAGAAATAGTTTGGCTATATTAACTGTTACCCTATTAATATATTAAGTTCACACATTATTCCAAAAAAGTGTTTCCATTACAACACATCTTCTTTTTATGTACCTAAATATCTGGATAGTGTGCATTTTGTGACCCAGCACATGTTGCTTGTGATTATACAGGTAAAAAAACCACACACAATGTATATTTCTTCTGGTACACTGATCTTCCTGTACCCAAGCCCTCATATAGCATGCTCTGACAATAAACTAGTCTTTGTCATGTGACCTGCTTTGGACACTGACACGTTAGAAAATGTCATGCAAACATAAGTTTGAAAAGTTCTGGCCATTGGTGTTTGCCTCTTAAACATAGTCAGACTATGAAAAAGGCTGAGGAGACACAAGGCCCAGACAAGGGTCAGCAAAAAGTGAAGGACATGTGAGTGAAGCCATCTTTAACCAAACAGCCTTAGTCAAGAGAACAGGTGACTGTATGCACATTTGTAATCAATGGAACTCTAGAGTGAGAGTGCCCAGCTAAATGCACCCAAAGATGTGGATCCATAGAACTTCAAAAAAAGTAAGATGGCTGGGTTTTTCCACTGGGGTTTGATTTGTTTCTTACATAGCAAATACTGAATGACATATTGAAGTCCTCAAAACTCAAAACATATTTAACAAAATTATGTGGGGGAGAAAGTCTTAAACTACAAGTCAAATACATTCAATATACCTTCACAATAACAGGTAGAAGTTTTGAAAATCACAGTGAATGTTAACTACATGTATTTCAGTAAAGTTTCTAGTCCTAATAAAGGCTATGGGATTCATAAAAAACAATTATTTGCACATAGGTAAACTAAGTTGTAAGTTTTGTTTTGTATTGCTTTTTATATGACATGCAAGTTGCTCATTTTAAAAACATACAACATAGGGTAGGCCCATGACTCACTTGGGCGAGTGTGGTGCTAATAACACCAATGCCAAGGGTTGGAACCCTATATAGAGATGGCTGGTTCGTCCACTTTGGAGAGCGTGGTGCTGACAACACCATGTCAAGGGTTAGACCCTTACCAGTCATCTTTTACAATAAGCAAATAAATAAATATTAAAACATACAACATAAAAAAGTGGTGTTCTTTACAAGTGAGTAATACATTGTACCAGGGTACTTTCAAAGGTTTGGGGGAAAATGGAATGAAAAGAGAATAGAAATCTTTCCATGAACTTTTTGAAGCACACTACCATTTTAATTACATTTAAGAAATTGGTTTTGAGTAGAAGGGAAGTGCAGACTAATTTTCCCTTTTCAAATAATGCAAAATTGCCTCCAATATATTCCTGCAAAAGTTATGATTTTGAAGAATAGGTTACTGACATTAAGTGGGAAATACTTACTTACATTATTTACCCTTTGAGGTGACATAATCCAAAGAAAGTACTGGAGTTAAAAAAGGATAGAGATGTTTTAGGCATGTATGTTAAAGCAATGTTTGCTCTAAATTGACTTCAGCATTACAAAAATAATCTCAAAAATGAACAAACACTTGTTTTGACTTAAATGTGGCAAAATTTAAAATGCTAGCCAAAAAGTCAGGATGTCTAACATCAACAAATCATGTAACCCTGGGCAAGTTACATTTCCTCATATCCAATTATTTTCACTTTTCTTACAAACTAGAAACATGGGGAAAACCACTCATGAATGACCAAAAAAGAACAATGAAAATAGAGAACCATCAGCACATCTCTAGATGCCAAATTTGGTCATAGGCTGGGTTTGAGAGAGCTCAGACACTGGGAACAATGAGGGAAGATTGAAGGAATGGGAGTGTGTTCAGAGAGCACTGCAGACAGATCCTCTCAGCGGTGACAGGTCATTCCTGCACCCCACAGAACACCCTCAAACCCTCTTCAATAAAGTAACACCTCCTGGGTCCTTGACTCTCTTTCTCAGTCTAATTGACCTTTCCCTTCTGAAAGTTGGCCCAAACCTTCCGATACCATCCAGTCTCATACCCATTGAATGAGGTATTATCTGCCAACCCTGGTGTGCTCTAAGCACTAGACACAATCATTGTTTAGACTGTGCAAAGCTCGGATCCTCACCTTTCTAGGACTCTCTTGCCTCTGCCCTGAAGCAGTACTGAGAGGGTTCCGGCCACAGTGATGCTCCCCCAGGTGAGATTCCTATTCACAGGACACCGTCTATCAAAGTCTGTCACACATCCTTCACTCCAAAGAAAATGGGTCCAACATCCAGTGCCCCAATCTCCTTCCTAGAAGTCACTGTCCTGGAAACAAGGTTGTGTATCAACTTTTGTAAACTCAAACCAGGAGCGCTAGGCCGGCTGCACAGGGCAGGAGGGACCAGAAACGTGACCTGCTGAAGAGACACCGAGACACCCACGACCACAGCAGCCACAGAGGAACAGTCTGCACACACCCCACAATCTCAGATTCACCTCTGGGATCTGGGGCATCACACTAATGTCCACACACTCATGTTACAGATGGTGAAGTGAACGTTCCATAGGTCGGTACCAGGTCCTGATGGCAGAGCTGGAACGTGACCTCCCCACACCTCCCAGGCTCACTGTCTTCACACACCCCCAGCCACGTTCCCGTCGCCACCTCGGACCTGAGTCCCCATCCTAGGACATCTGGAACCAGCTTCTGCACACCCGGCAGCGCCCGCCCGCCTTCCAGCAGCGCCGACCTCTGATGGAACCGCCTGGAAAGCGCAGCCCGGGCGCCCCTTCCTCGCCGGCCCAGGTCCGCGCTTGCGCCGCATATCAGGCCCCACCCACCAGAGGCCCGCGGCGCTTCTGTCCCCAAGTGCCGGGACACCGTCCCGCTCCCCAGAGCCCCTGAGGCCCGCGGGCTCCTCTTTCACCCTCCACCTACTTTCAGGGACGCACAATCCTGAGGATCTGCTGATCTGAGGAGCAGCGGGGGGGGGGGGGGGGGGGAGGGTCTGCGGCATCCGGGACTTACAGACAAAGGATGGTGGAGTGGGCGGAGCTGCACATGAGCAGAAGAAAGCCCTTCCCATAGTCCTTCGCGGGTGTTGTCACAGCAGGGAGAAACTACATTTCCCAGATGGCAGAACAAGCTGAGACAGGCAAATACAGAAGGAACTTGGAGCAGCTGTTTAGTCATCCTGTGCTGGTGACGTCACTGGAGGGCGAGACTACATTTCCCACAAGCCTCTGCCATCATCCTTTAGGGACCAAGGAGATTTTGTTTATTTTCTGAGCAGGGATTCTTGCTACCAGGTGAACAGGACCTGATGGGTCAAGACTGGTCTTTTTCCACGTTATTACGAGGTAGAATTCTGATTCTTTACTAAATCCTGGTTTGACAACCTGGGGCATTGTGAGAATAACCGGGAAATTTGAATGTGGCTCAGTTACCGCATGATAGTAATAAGTAATTTCACTTTTCTTTTTAGTTGTCATATAGGTATTGCTATTCTAGAACCCATGTTTATTTTTGCAGATGCACTTTAGAGGAGGAAAAAATCATGCATCTATTTTCCTTTTAATGGTTAAACAAATGAGAAGTTGATATGGTAGCTCTCTTCCAAGCCATTAAAAAAATGTTTGTTCTCATCCAATAAACTAATTTGCCTGTCTTCAATGGGTTGTACTACACAGTTGGAAAAGTTTTGTCCCTCTCTCCCAGGTGAACAACAAGTTATTATTACAATCTTTTGACATGACCCTATTAAATTCTAAATTTGAATCCTACAGCCATTGCAGGACAATGAGCCATGTATTTGCCACCTGAAACAGACTAATACTCACCAGACTCATAGTAAGCCAGCTAACATGAGACCTTGGCTTCTGTCTCATGTTGTGGCCACCCCTTTTCTCCTGGGTCTCCCTATGTTCTTACTAGATACAACTTCTTATGCATCAAGGGCACCTGATACAGTGTGATTCAGATTAACACCTCATGCACTTTAGGATTCATACTTTGAGTCTTGTCTGGACACAGAAGTTTTAATTGTATAAATTGGCAAGGCTGGTAGTTAAGATTCAGATGGGAGTTCCAAAAGGAGGTCACCTCGATCATTCTGACCCTAGAAAATCTGGTTCATGTCTCTTCTCTAGCTTCTGGCAGTGTACTGGCAACCTGTGACATCCCTTGGCTTGTAAAATCATCACCCTGATATTTGCCTTCATCTTCCCATAATGTTCTCCCTGTGTGGTCTGTGCACAAATTCCCCCTATTTATAAGGACATCAGTCATACTGGATTAAATAATTACATCTGCTATGGCAGTATTGCAAAATAACCTCACATTCTGTGGTAGTGTGGCTTAGGACTTTAATGTATAAATTTGGGGGAACTGCGAACACAATTTAACTCATACTAGAGACTTATCACTAACTTCCGCAGAAGCTATGAATGATAGCACCTCCTCACCAAATGGAGTATAGCAAGTCTCCTGTTGGTATGAACAGAGACAGCCCATCACCTTACTCTAGATTTCAGATTGGCTACTTGTATGGGTTTGCTTGGGCTGCCATACAAAACACCACAGACTGGGCCACTTAAACACCAGAAATGCATTTTCTCCCAGTTCTGGAGGCTGGATGTTGAAGATCGAGGTGCTGCAGGATTGGTTTTCTCTAAGGCTCTCTCTTTGGCTGGCAGAGGTTTGCCTTCTCTCTTCCTCATCACATGGTCATCCTCTGTGCACAGTCACCCCTGGTGTGTCTATGCATATCCTAATCCCCTCTTGTTGTAAGGACAACAGTCAGATTGTTTTAGGGCCCAGACTCATTTTAACCTAACCACCTCTTTAAAGACCCTATCTTCAAATGCAGTCGCTTTTTGATGTTCCTGGGTTTAAGATTGTAAAATAATTATTTTGGGAGGAGAAGAGGACAGAAATTAGCACAAACGGAAGTCAGGGTGGTGTCCATGTCATTACTAATATTTACATAGATTATAGCTACGCCCATCCACTCAGATATCTGCCAGACACCTCAGACCAAGCAGGTCGTACCCTGGACTCACACACACTTTTCTTATGGCCCCTCTCCTGGAGGTGGCACTTCCCTCTGAAGCAGAAGTCTTCTAAACCCAGATCGCCACACTTTCCTACCTCCCACCTAGTGGTTGCTGCTGAGTCTCTCACTAGACAATGTCTCCTCTTTTTTTTTTTTTTTTTGGTACAAACTGACTGTGTTCTGAGAAGTTCATGATATCCTGGTCTAACAATGTCTTGGGTTGGGGTGAAGGCTTCTATTGGGCACTACTGCTGCCTGGAAGGATTGGTGGCCCTGCCCTTCAGAACCTACTCTCTCTGGGTTCCCTGCAACCAAGTGCCCTTGACTCAGAGTCATACCCTGTGTCCTGAAAAGGACCATCTTCATTTACATAAATAGGGGCTTCCCCCTAAGCATCTCTCCTCACCTACTTTTGCCACTCCACACTGGTCACTTCAACCTCCAGCCCTTGTACACTTGGAAGGTTCTGGTGCCCCAGAAGACTTGGGTTGTGGACATGCAGGACAATGGTGGCCATTTGGGCAGTGGAGTTTCTACCTACAGTGTGGATGTGCTCAGGCTGGACTTCACTGGACAGTGATTACATCAGGCACGGTGGGGTGCAGAAGTCCTGTGTCTCTCTCACCATGAACTAAACAAGCCCTTGGATCCAAGAACAGAGCCTGTCTAATTGGCTCTTTCTAGAATGGGAATCTGTGCTCTGAAGACACCTGGACTTCAGTGTCACAAAACTGACCCTCAAGCTCTTTACCTGAATCTGACCTTGTCAGTATCCCCTTATTCAGCCAGCAGGACCAGCATCTAATCACTCAGTGGGGACAGATGTCCTGATTTTCTCTCCAACATCTCCTTTATCTTCACTGCTCACACCAGTATAGTCACCAATTCTGCCCTAAAGAGCTGTCTTTCCATCCATAATTTTCTCAATTTGGCCACTGTCATTGGAAGCTGGGATCATACCAACTTCCAACTGGCTTTGCATCTAATTCCTTTTTTTTTTTCATGTCAGCTGGCCAATACAAGGATCAAACCCTAGACCTTGGTTTTATCAGCAAAATGCTGTAACCAACTAAGCTAACTAGCCAGCCCCTTATATTCATTCTTACCCTAACCTCTAACAGCTAATATTTAACCCCTAACCCTTTCCCTAACACCCCATTGTCCTCAACTCTATCCACTGAGCCTAAGCCCCTAAACCTTAAACACACCCTATTAGCATAATCCTTAACTCCTAACAGGTTATACATATTACCTATCCCTAAACCCTACCACTTAACTCCAGTTCCAACTCAAACCCCTAAACCCAACTCTTTCCCCTAAACTTACCCTAACCTTAAATCTAAATCTTGAACTCTAATAGTAATCCTTAACCCTAAACTCTAAATCTAACCCAACAGCAAGCCTATCCTTAACCATTAAAACTAACACTAGCACTTAACCCTACTCCACTTGTAACATTAATCTCTAGCCCCAAACTACCCAACCCTTAACCACTAATCCTAACCCTACTCCCTAAACCAACCATAACTGCTAATCCTAACCCCACCCCCTGATCTTATCTCCAACCCCTATCCCTAATTCTACCCGAACCTGAACCCCAACATTAACACAATTCCTTACCCTCACTCTGCCCTAGTGGTGTTGGGCTCTGTGAATGGCATCAGTTTCCTCTTTTTCCAAGGCTCACCTGGTGTTTTCCACACGTGAGTCTGCTGTTGGCCCCACCCTCCTGCGTTCTTTACCACCCACCTTTTGCCCTTCACCTTCACAGAACCTGTTCATGCTGCATTCTTTCTACTCTGACCCCAGAGCACCCCTGGTCCTGACATGAGCACCTGCTCATTCACTCGGGGAGGTCTGTACTCCTCTGCCACCTCCTTGGGTTTACTTTTATTCCTGTTATTATCACCAACATGGCCATTGCCATTGTTAAAATCATCACTGTTGTAATTATTACCATTTTCATTTTTGTCATTGTTGAACGATCATTGAACACAGCCTTGTGGTCAAGTTATCCTGGGTACTAAAACTGAGTGGACATCACATTTGGGTGAAAAACTCCCAAAAATTTAATGAAAGTGCGCTGTGGCCTTGGTCCCTCAAGCCGATGTGACTTAGGATCTGGGAACAGACTCTCTAAGGAGTTAGGATTTACAACTAGCAATTGAGTAAGGGAGTACCTGGGGCTGGCCCATGGCTCACTTGGGAGAGTGTGGTGCTGATAACACCAAGGCCACGGGTTCGGATCCCTATATAGGGATGGCTGATTGACTCCCTTAGGAGAGCGTGGTGTTGACAACACCAAGTCAAGAGGGTTGAGATCCCCTTACCGGTCATCTTTTAAAAAAAAATTGAGTAAGGGAGTACAAAGAAGATAGCTGGGCAGGACGGGATGTAACCTAAGTGATGAGGAGGACCATAAAACAGAGTAACCGAGTTCCAGGGACAGGAGACATTATCTTGACACATATCCCCAAGATGTCTTTATAGGCCAAATCCAGAACATTCCCAGCCCTCACAATTTGCTGAGGAGGTGAACTGTCAAGAACATAGACTGATAGGAGCCTGGTAAGTGATAAAGGAAACTAAAAGTTTTGTCTTTGTTCATGAAGATCCTGCTTCTTTGTGCTCAGAGGCGCAGCCACTCAGAACAGTCAACTGGTGACGCATGCAGTCCCTTCCCCAACCCTCAACACTTTCTTTAAAACTCCCCACCTGTAAGTGTTCCTGGAGATCAGGATGTTTCTGAGCTTTAGCCACCTGGACTCCGTTATTAGGTCTTGTAACAAAAGCTTACTTTCCCTCACTGCAACTCGTGCCAGTGTTCTGGTTTAGCTGCACATCACATGAAGGAACACAAGTGTTGTTCTATTACACTTGCAGCTCACAGCTGGCCACGTCTCAGCCCTATGACAAGTCACCTACATCAAGACCTCTTGGAGCCTCGGTACCCTCTGTGACAT